AAAGCGCCGCGCCGCCGCGCGGTCCCCCTCCCCCCCCCCCCAGCTAAGTTAGCACCGTCTTACTTGCCAAGGATGGTGGCTGCAATTTTTGGAGCATTAGTCAGGTAAGACAAGTTTTAAAATGTATATTTACAAAAATCATAATTGCATATTTGGGCATACTGAGCCGTAAAGATACCTTTGTTTAGCTACTTGATAGACGTCAAGACTAACCTTCACATTTTCCTCGAATGTGACAGCCGTGCATGTGACACAAGCGATATGAAGTTCTTAAGCATGGCGTCACCTTACTACACCACAGTGGATCGTCACGATTGAGATACTAAAATCCTCGAACTGTCAAGGTTTTACATAGAACGACTTTGAAATAAACGACATACCACACATGGAATATGCGACCGCAAAGCATGGATAAGGTCACCAAGAAAGTCCCGCAACTGCTCTTTCGAACCGAATCTTTTCAAAGATCGTGGCACTTGCATAGTATTCGCTAGAAGTTCCTCAATTGAGAAGTTCAAGAACATTTTGCGAGTTAGGGCTTCAGAAAGCCATTAATGGGGTCTGAAGTTCAAAAACCACCGGTAAATCAAAAATTACCAGATTTCTGAGCCTGAAACGAATATGCCGGACGGTGCCGGCATCTGAATGGTTTTGCTGACCGCCGAATTGTGTGAAAATTGCACAAAAAAAACTTGGTTCACCCCTAGGAAAAAAATGAACGAAATCAGACGTACTTGTGAGGGAACTGTTGTCATCATCAAGTTACTAGTATCCAAGCATCGAAGCAATATTGCGCTTTCGATAACGCCTGCATGAATTAGGCAGCGTTCAGAGTTAGCGATCATACATGGGATTAGGAGATTGGTCTTCAAGGAGAAGGATGTATTGATTAGGCGATTTAGCGACCGTTTAGGAGACGCACAAGCGTATCGACACGTACCCTTTCATCGCCTAACTTCGTTACATCTCCTTATCGCTTAGTCGCGCCGTATCGCCTATTCGCATGTACGCCACCACTCTGAGCTTGCTTTCATTCGCCTTCTAGCTTGCGATTGAAAGGAATCCCTAGGGCACAGACTTTATGTTCAAAGGACAGATGCCAGACTTTGATGACTGTGACTTAAAGGCATGGGTCTGGATCGAGTTGGTGTGAAAGAATGATCAAAAATTTGACACGAAGTGCGATGAGAAACGCGTGTGGGAAGAAAAAGGCAAGAAAAACCCCCAATAGAAAACATTGCAGTCCCCTTGCTGAGTGGCCATTGCTTTGACCGCAGAGGCACAGACGTACTGCGAGAAGGGAGGGGAAAGCGAGAGAGCACGTTGTAGCGGGGCGCGCATACGCCACGTAGCCACGATTGATAAGGATGGCAGCACGGCAGCAGACAAGAGGTCTTACAAGGGAGGTCGTTCAGGGTGTGCCAAGCTTTTTCAAAATGGTTTCTTGCATGACATTGGGGCACATATGGGGACCACAGAAGCATGGTTCATTTTTCCTGAACGGCTCTCTGAATACCAGAAAAGGGGTCCCTAGTTCGATTCCTCGTGGTGACAAGTTTTTGCATTTCGTGTTGACGTTTCCAAATTCGCGCAAAATGGAGTTAGCATGAATAATTAGTACCAAATTCATGATTAGGAACGTCAGTAACCCTTACAAATAGACTTTGATTGAAAAACTGGTGAAAAAGGTGTGACCCCTTTTTCTGGTATTCAGAGGGCCGCCGTTCAGAAAAAATTAACCATGGTTCTGTGGTTCCCGCATGTGCCTCCTATATCATGCAAAGACCGTTTTGAAAAGTTTGGCACA